AAGCGGTCAGGCCCTGGACGGTCAGGTGAGGGTGGTGAGCAGCCCAGGGCGGTGTAGTTGGGGCGGCACACTGACAGGAAGTGTGGCGTGGGGTTGCCAGTCACCACCTGCCCCGCATTGGCGAAGATGGTCGTGGTAAAGAGGCCGAAGGAGTACACGCCTGGTGGGGGGAAGGAAAGGGGTTCATGCCCTCAGTCCTGATGCCCAATGGCCCTCCCCCTGAAAGCCCCAGCTGCTTGATTCCTTGTTCCTAGAAGCACCATTAAAGCACACCTGGGACCATATTATACCTGGGCCAAGGTCCCCCTTCTTTGGGGACCACCATGAAGGACCTCAGAGCCTCCTACCCCTGGAACTTTCACTGTAAGAACATGTGGCCTCTGTCCCTCTCAGATTATCCTATGTCAAGAGTGGTCTTGCCTTGGAATCCCATTACAGCAGAGGCTGGACCCTGTAACCAGCATCCCATCAGATTAGGCCCAGGCCCGGGACCGCCTAAGAAAACCCTAAGGATGGCTGGGCCTCTTTATGCCTGTCCCACTTTTGCTGAGTTGATCCCTTTTCCCCTGGGGCCCTAATCAGCCAGAGCTGGATCTCCAGCCCTCTGCCACTGGAGCCATGCTCAGATACACGCTCTACTCCCAGCCCCATGACCAACTGTGATTGGGGCCCCAGGTAATGTGACTGGGAGTCTCACCTGCCTGCTCTGAGGACCCACTGTGTTTGGCCACAGGCATGGCGCCTTCTGTGCCCAAAACTCCCCGTGTTCCATTTTTGGGCCCTCTTCCTCCATGTGCCATTGTAGTTGGGTTAGGCCCCTCCAAGTCCTCCAGAACCTCCATTTTATTTCTAACTGAACCCAAGTCCCTCTTTGCCCCCTGTAGTCTCCATCACGCCACCTGGAAGACTTTTTCCTTCATACTCTGAATTCTATGATGGCAGAACCAGTCCTTCTCCCTTTGCCTCTGCAACTGCCTCCCCCTTTCCTATTACTACAGGGCTGACCATGGGCTGAGGCTCTCACCCAGGAAGCGAACCAGCCTCCGTAGCGGGGGGCTGAAGCGGCAGCAGGCCCCTGACACGATGGTGCTCTCCCCGATGACGGGGCTGGCTGAGGGTGGCGCGGGGAAAAAGGCACGTGCCAGCTCCCCCAGCAGGATCTGTGGACAAGACCAAGATGGGGTCTCCCTGGCCTTCAGGCCCATATTTCCACCAGCCCATGTGGCCTTTCGGCCTCCTGGGAGGTCCTCTCCGGGGTCTGACCAAGGCAACCCACACCATCTCACCGTAAGGGTGGGCCCAGCAGTGACCAAGGCATAGATGAGGGCGGGGGGTGCTCGGCTGGCAGCCTCAGGCCCCGGATAGGGCTTGGCGTAGGTGCTGTCATAGCAGAAGAACCCCTGGGTGTGCACGGGGAAGGTGTCTGTGAACTCCAGGCGGTAAGCAAGCAGAACCACAATGCCCAGCAGCACTGACTGCACCAGCCAGGGCAGGAGAGAGCAGAGAGAGAAGAGAAGGTCAGAGGCTCTGCGGCCATGGAGACAGAGAAAGAGAAAGGAGGGAAACAGACATGAAGATGAAGAGGGACCACGACAAGGAGGGAGGGAAAGAACAGAGGGGAAGGAGAGGAAGAGAGAGATGAGGACAGAAGTGAGAGAAGACAGGAGAAGGGGAAAGAAGAGGAAAGAGAAGGGGGGTGGGAGAGAAAAGGGAAGAAGAGGGAATGAGAGAGAGGAGGGAGAGTAGTGATTACCAAGGAAGAGTGAGAACAGGGCCCAGGCTCAAAACAGAAAGACGGCACACCCAGTGGGATTACACCTGAAATTATACTGTAGAGAAGCTTCCCACTAAGCCTTTCTCTGTGAATTTATATATTTTACATTCCTAAGAGCCCTTGGAGAGAGGGACCCTAGTACACCCATTTAAGGATGAGGAAACTGAGGCTCAGGTGCCAACACACTTAAGAGTCCTGAAGTATGGATGGACAAGGCAGAGTGGGATTAGAACTCAGAGAAGGACACTTTCTGAGCCCAAGCTTGTAACCACTTCTCAAGAGAAGGGGGACAGCAATGGAGATCCTTGGGTAACAGGGAGAGATTAGGGAGAGATGGAATAATGGATCCAGGTGGGGACCTGGCAAAAGAAGGGAGACTGAGGTTGGGCAGAGATAGAAGAGACAGGAAGACGGGGTGCCACCTCTGGGAGAGGTTCTGGGGTCCTCACCTCCACAAAGACAAAGCAGGGAATGATGGAGAAACTCCTCTTCGGGTGAGGTCTCCCTCCCGCCATAGTGAAGGCTGGGCCTGCAGAGTGGGGGCAGGGAGTGGGACCGCCAGGGCAACCACTGGGACCCTGGCCTCATCCCTGTGGCCACAGGGACCACTGGTTCTGCCCCTTGAGCCTTCTGGACAGCTTTGTACAATCCAGGTCCTACCTCATTGGCCCGTGGGATACTCCACTCCAACACCACCTTTAGCCTGTCAGGGACCCCAAAGATTCTACAGTGGTCCCCTTCTACAGCCTTCGGAGCTGGTAACCAGAGGCCTTTTAGGAGGACCCTCCCCACTTGGCCTTTAGAAGGGCTCCTCCATGACACCACCCCCACCAGGTTTTAGGGGATTCCTTGCTCTTTCCCTGGGGAACTCCATGCTCCATGCCCCCAAACCCTGCTGGGTCCCTCCGTGAGGCCCTTTTCCCATGGCCTCCTTGGGGGTCCCCTCCTCAGTCCCCATGGGCTGTGGTATCTGGTGCGGGCTGATAGCCAGGCTCGCCTTCTCTCCCAGCTGCTTCCCCTCCTCCCCCACCTCCCAGCCAGCTGCCTCTCCCCTTCCCTCCGCCAACCCTCTAAACTCAGTCTCCAGACTTCAGGGGCCAACAGTCACACCAGCTCACACCCATTCTCCCACCTGAACTCACCTGTGAAAATGCCCTAGGGCTTCTGACAGGCTGCCGCCACCACGGACTCACAGCCACTCCTGGTGGCCAGCAGGGCAGGGATAGTCACCCCCATTGTGAAGATGTGGAAACTAAGGCCCAGGTAGGCAAGGGTAGGCACTCTGGGTCCAAAGCTCCATCCACGAGGCTCGTTCTGCCATGTGACATGAAGGGTAACGGTCACCAGATGCCCCCAGAGTCACCCACATTAGCACCCTCACAGTGTACAACCCAATCACAGCCTCCAGTCCCAAATACTGCACCCCCATGACATTCATTCATCTGTCCCAATGAGGACCAAGAGCACAATGCTGGGCGCCTGCCTCATGGTGAACAAGACGGGGCGCTCATTCACACAGGTACCCAACACCCACAACCTTCTAACAGCATTCACACACACACACCAGGCACAGCATGCACACGGCCCGTCATGGACACCCACACAGATCAAACACGTCCCCCCACACAGTCACATAGTCAGGAAGACCAGGAGACCCTACACATGTCACAGCTACAAGAACAGCCCCACACAAGTCCTCATCCTGTCACAGTCATGGAAGTAGACTCAGGCTGCCAACACACTTAAGAGTCTCAGTATAGAGAACCACCGTATACAATGGGAGTCACAGACCGGGTCACAGAGTCACACCCCCAGTTACAAGGCTTTCAGTGGCAGCCACACACATTAACAGTCTCTCATCCATTCTGACAGTCACTGGAGAGACAACGAGCCATCCACAACCACAGCCACATGGTCACACAAGGGCATATCCATGGACCATGACAAAGACTCACATGTGGCCACATAAGGCATACAATCACAGACCCAAGCCACACACTCACATCATCAGAAAGAACACACAACAGCAGCCACACAATAACACACACACACACAACCATACTGACACCAAGACGGCCACATACAGTAAAAGCAATCACAGTGCCGCCAAATAGAAGCCACAACATCAGAGAGAGAGAGAGAGACACACACACACACACACACACACAATCTGAGTGACACTGACAACAGCAGCCACACGATAGAGCAGACACACACACGGACACACCCGAAGTCACACAATCACTGCCATACAACCACACAACGACAATTACACAACCGCACACTGACACACAATGACAACCACACAATCAGTCACCCTCAGCCACCCTCACCACCATCGCTTGGCTCCTGACGTGGAGTCCTCTACCCATGCTCCCCTCCCCCAGCCCGGTCTGAAGCCCCAGCTCGCCGCCTCCCTTCCCCCTCCCGGTGCTGGACCCGATGGGACCCAACCTCGGAAACCGGAGTCCGGGCCTCGACCAGCAGATGGAAGATGGGAAGCCCCCGGAGGGGATGAGGCGGTGAGAGGACGCCCCAGGCCCCCCTCACCCGGTGCAGGCCGCCACCGCCGCCTGAGCCCCCGCTCCGCACAGACGGCCCGGGTGCGGCGGGGCAGACAGACGGATGTCTGGCCGCGGTGACGGACGCGGAGACGGAGACACTGTCGGGCCGGCGGGGCGGGGCGGCGCAGGCTCCGCGGCCGCGGGAGGGGCGGGGCCTCCGGAGCCTCATTTGCATCGCCCAAGGGGCGGGGCCTTGCGGCGCCTCCGGAGCGTGTCGGGGAGGGGCCTCGGTTGCTCCTGGGAGCCGGGCAACTTAGCACAGATGAGGGTGGGGACGGAAGGACGGGGGCGGAGGAGGAGGACCCTGGGGTGGGAGGCCTCGAGAACGGGAGGGCGGGGCTTCCCAGCGTGACGCTGAACCCCTCACGCCCTCTGGGCCTCAGTTTCCCCATTTGGGCATTTGTAGCAATTTGTAGCAGAGGGCCAGATCCTTGGGACTCCCCAGAAAGAAAAGGCCCTTTGGAGAGATTGTTTGGTCACTCGTGTCTGGACATACTGACCCCTGACCTTGTCATATACTAAGTCTGGTCTCACTATCCCCTGACTCTAGCCCGCACATTTCGAACAGTCCCTGGGGTCTCTACATCTTTCCTGACACTGCGAAGTAAATGGTGGGAGTAAATGGAGGGAGGGCACAGGAAGGACAGGAGCAAGCCCTCAGGGGTGGAGGAGGATCTCGGCTAGTTTATTCTCTGTCTGGAGGGGTCTTCAGGAAGGGCAGTCCCGGCTGCTCAATCTGTGGAGAAAGAGGGCGGGTCAGGGCCTGGCCCCGGGGACTCCAGGGCTTCAGGACAGGGGCCAGATGCCCAAGGAGGGAGCTGGGGTGGTCCTGAGGGTCTATGCTGTTGGAATCAAGGGCAGGCCAGAAGGGAAATGGGTGGGGTGGGGGTCAGGGAGGATCCTCACCGTGTGGAAAGGATCGGCTCTTGCCGAATTGTGGCTTATCAGAGTCTGAGTCTGAGTCCCAGGAGGGGAGTGGAGGGCTCAGGCACCGGTGCCCATTGTGGCCTGTGGAAGAGACATTGTGGCCCTTCACACATGAGCTCTGAATGTGACCCTGAATGACCCCTGGATGAAACCTCCCATAACTCCTTAATGTGACTTCAGAGCATTACTTAATGTAACAGTAACCCTAACCCTAACCCTAACTATAAAATAAGACCCAACACCTGGGCGTGATGGCACATCCCTATAATCTCAATGACTTAGGAGGCTGAGGCTGGAGGATCACAAGTTCAAGGTCAGCCTCAGCAACTGTCTGAAAATAAAAGATAAAAGGGCTGGGGATGTGGTTCAGTGGTTAAGCACCCCTGGGTTCAATGCCCAGTACTGGGGGAAAAAAACGATACTAAATCTCGAAAGATGTGACTCTCTAATAGAACCTCTGAACATGACCCCACTAAGCAAAGCTGGCTAATTACTCCACCCCCCACTTGTGAGTGATGCTCAGTCTCCTCACCCCTGAGGCTTGAAGCCCGGGGGTGGACCCCCGAAGACATAGTAAGGCCATCAATGGAGTTCTGCAGCCCATGAACAGCAGACCTATGGGAGATGGAGAGATGTGGATCCCCCAAGACACTGGACTGCTCCAGGTGGGGACTACGCAGGGGGAACCCTAGGGAAGGTGAGTCCTGTGGGGAGAGGGAGGTCTGAACTCAGATGGGTTCCAGGTTCCAGTGGTCACTGCCAGATGGAACTGGAGGGAGCTGGTCAGATGAGGCTCAGCAGTTAGAGGTCAGACCGAGGGCTGGGCATCACCATATGTCACTCAGTTCCTTCTGGAGGTCATCCTTCCAGCAGCCATTGCCCCCCAGTGGCACCTCCTCAGTCTCTGGCCAGGCAGATGGATCAAACCCCTGCTGCTTCATCTTGGTCAGGACCTGGGATCCGCAGGGATGAGAGATCAGACACAATGATAATAATGACGATGGTGAAAGGGGACCATTATGAGAACTTATTATATGCCAGGATGCATTCAAAGCACTTAACCTTCAGTGAACCCAGCTACAGGATCAGGGAGAGCTATGTCATTATTATACCCGTGACACAGAGGAACAAATTGAGGCCCAGAAACACAAAATGACTTACCTGTGCTTGCACAGTGGTAAGTGGCAGAGCTGGGATTTGAACCCAGCCTCCAGTCTGACGGCAGAGGCTGGTAGAGACCCCACACTCCCACCTTGCCCAGGGTCCCCCATCTGTTCCGCTCACCTTGCGGCATTTCACCTGTGTCTTCTGCATTTTCTGGATGTTCACCAGGTTCTGCGCGATCTCCTCCTCCTGTGCCTCTGTGGGGGGAGGGGGCTCAGGGGGACAATCACAGCAACAGGCCCCCCCTCTTGGCTGTAGGCTCTAGGCACTCACGAAGCTTCTGATAGATGAAGGTCACCTCCTCCCGTATCAGCTCCAGCTCCTCCCACAGGAACTTCTTACTGAGGGAACAGGGCAGACTAGACCCATACTTGCTACCTTCTCCCAGGTCTCCCTTGCCTCCCAGGTCCCCATCTGTTCCCCCACACACACCTGCCTACCTTCCTCTTACTACTGTCCCTCTACCTCCCACTCCTCTCCTCCTGACCACTCTTCTCAGCCTCTCCACTCTGTTGGCCTCCATCTTCCTGCCTCCTTCCCCCCTCAGCCTCCCATACCACCCCAGCCTCCTCAGTCCCTAGCCTCCTTCCCCATCCCACCTCCAGCTTCTGGTCTCCCCTGCCTTCTGGTCTCCCAGACTCCCCAGCACCCTCTCCCCAGCCACCAATCTCCCCTGAGCCACTCATCCCTTCCTCCTATCCCCCAAGCCTTTCACTGAGCCCTCATCCCCTTCCCAGGCCTCTCCCCTGTCCCTCTTCCTGGCCTTCCCTGCTTCTCCCAGCCGTCAGGCTGCCCTCCTGTCAACACCCACCTGTCCCTGATTTCTTGGGCCAGCAGCTGCAGGCAGCGAGTGGTGCGGACCCGCTGCACTTCCTCACTGTCACGCAGGGTCTTCTGCAGCACCCGAAGGCCTTGGGCCAGCGCCCCATAGAGCTCCTGCCGGCCCTGCTCTGTGTCCCACTTCTGGCCCTCCTTCTCTCCCTGGCGGCCCACAGGGCTCAGCACCTCTGCAGAGAGGTTGGGACCTTGACTGAGCCCTGAGGTCAGTTTTAAGCCCAGCTTGCCCTAATCTTGGCCTGACAGGGTCCTGGAACTCAGACTGGCTGACCCTGACAGAACTACCCACCAGCCTGACCTTGACTTCCATCCAGTCCTTACCTTCAAGCTGCTGGATTTTGATTTGTTGCAGGCAGCTCTCCTTCTCCAACATGGTCACAGAGTGGTTCAGGAACTCAAAAGCCTGTGAGGGAAGAGGTCAGGCCTGGGGTAGGAAGGAGGGCAAAGTGGGGCAGAGGTTGCTGAGGATGGGGCCAGGGTGGTTTACCTTGGTCTGAGCCTGTAGCTGGCTCTTGAGTGACTCTAGTTCACATCTCAGGAGCTTCTGGGAGTCAGGAATCATCATCATGGACTTAGCTGTGGGCAGAAGTAAGGGTGAGCTGGGGTGGGGACAAGGGCAGCACAGAATCAGCAGAGGCTCAGATTGGGATAGAAGCTGGGGTAAAGTACAGATTGGGGGTCTGCTGAAGCTGGAGCAGGGGTGAATGGTTAGTGGTAATGGTGGTCATCTGCAGGGCAGAGGTTGGAAGGGGAACAGCCAGGTCTTTCCCACAGTTACATTGGGAAGGAGGGTTCTTACCTTTGACTTTGGAAGAGTTGGTCTCCAAGGGCTTCTAGGGAAGGGGGACAAGAAGGGAGTGGAAATTTGGCCCAATTTGGAAGGTTGGACAAGAGTTGGGTCTTCTGAGATATAGGTGTCCCAAACCACAAGCGCTGGCAAAGCTGCCTCCAGGCACATCTGGCTTGCACATGCTCAGAAATGCACTGTGTGGCACATCCCACATGTGTGTAGACCTGTAAGTTGCCCCTGATAGCAGATGCCAGCCCTGTCCCTGGCTTGGGCTCAGGTGATGGCCCTCCTCCGTAGGGGCAAACAGCCTTGACAATGTCTGCAGTGGGCATCAACGGCACTACACACGGTTGCCAAAATACAGACACCCAGACATCCAACCTCAGGCACAGCCATGCATGTAGGTTGTAAAACCCAGGCATCCATTTGCTCACATTTTGACATACAAGCCAAATCACAGCCAGAGACACAGCAAAACAAACAAACAAACAAAAACCCCACCAAATACACATGACTGCACATCCCTTCCATCCACTCCTTACATTATGGAGATCCTGATGAGAGGAGGACGCTGTTCTAGGTGCTGAACACGTATAGCTTGAGTACCCTTGAAGGTCCCCCTGCCCCATAACCCCTTCCCTAAGTCCTACAGAAGTATACTGCAGTGTTTTCCTAGACTGAAGGGGTTTCCTGGGTGGGGTGACCTTGGCTGTGTTTTGATGCCTCTTCAGAAGATCCTGGTCATTACAGTGCTCCTGCTGGTCTGGGTTAGAAATAGAGGGAGCCCCATGTGGCTGAGGTCCCGAGCCCCACCCTGGTTTCCAATCTATAATCCTCACTGTGTCCTCAGAGGCAGTAGGTTCCAAGGTCTCTGGTTCTGTGGTCCTGGTCCAATAACTCCTACAGTCTACAGCTTTGTCTGAAGAAGACCCTAGTGGGGAGGACTTCCTTGAGGGACAGGCCAGAGCATGCCTTGCATCCCCAGCCCGTCCCCTCTCCAGCCTGAAGGCAGCCCCTCAAAAAACTCACACTTCCCATAAGCAGGCAAACACACGTTGGAGGATGAATGAGAAGGGGAGTGAGGGGGTACAGAGTAGTCCTGGTCCAGGGGTAGGCCAGCCAAAAGAGGGTCACTGTGAAGAGGGGGACAAAAGTTTCTTTGAGACCACCCCTCATATCCCAACACTCCAGACCCTCCCTGACAACCCAGAGAGGCCTCAGCTCTGAATACCCAGCCTCTCAGTTATGGTAGGAGCTGAAGCTGGATGAAAGATGATCCCAGTCCCAGCGGTTAGGTGGGGCAACAAGGAGAACCTAGAAGACTCCAAAGAAATAAGGCCTTGGAAGAGCCCAGAGATGCAAAGGACCTTAATACTGGCCCTTAAGGGGAGGCCATTCCTGGAAGGAAATAGCATGTGCAAAGTCTGGAGATGTAGAACCTCATGTTCTGTGTTGGTAAATTCAGGATGGCTGAAGGCAGCATCCAAGAGAAAGCAGCAAGAAGTCAGTAGAACAGCTCAGCTAAGGCACTGAAGCCAAGCACAGGAGTTTGGGCCTGGCCCTACAGGTGAATAAAACCAGTAGTGGGTGAGCAGGAGAGGCAGGGCATATCTATTCAATAAATGTTAGCTCAATTTGAGCCCAGGCCTGTGCCAGCTAAGGCTGGGAACAGGAAATAACTTAGCTCTGGATCTCACCATGGCCCCTCCTGTAGAATCAGAGCTGACACAGATGGAAAGACCTGGGGCAGATCTATTTGGAAAAACTTCCAGGTGAAGGGCACCTTGCCCTGGATTACACTCAGCCAGTTCTCCAAACTTTTCTACCTTCCTCTTCTGTTGCCCTTGCTGAACCCTCTGCCTGGTGTCCTTCCCCTGGCCCAGTCTACCTGGAGTCTCCTACAAAACCCTACTCGGCACACCATCGGAAAACCTCTATTAATCCTTTTTTTTTTTTTTTTGGCTCATATTTTCTGAGTGTTCACTAAATCTTCACACCAACCCTGTAATGTACAGGTTATTCTGCCTGAAATTTTCTAGGGACCCCTTCAAGAGACACTGATTTAGGGAGATCCTCATCTTCTGAGGCAGGAGAGCATCACGGATAAGAAACGACACCCTCCAGCTGGACGGTCAAATCCCAGCTCTGCTGCTTCCCAACTGTGTGGTGTTGGAGAATTCTTGGGCTTCTCTATGCCTCAGAGTGTCTCCAACCACGAAAACAGGATATCATTGTATCCATTTTACGGGGTTGGCATGATTCAGTATATTGATCCATGTCAATGTTGGCAGTTTAACATAGTGGTGACGGACCTGAAGACCATGGGGGATCTGAGAGATTTGGAGGGGGAAAAGAAAAGCCATATCTGAACCTCAGCTGCAGGAAGTCGTGCCTACCCTTCCCTGCCCACCAAAGTTGATGGATTCTTCCGCCATCCTCCCGGGAGAATTCTTTGGGAAGGGGGCGGGGTCAGCAGCCTGGGCCCCGCCCCCAGGTCGTGAATCCTGCCCTAGACAAGCTCCGGACTGCCTTCCATCCCTACCTACCGCATACCACCAACCTGTTCATGCTCTCCCATCAGGGACCGCGAAGCCAGTCCCCAGCTGTGACGCTGAAATTTGATCCTATGGGGGCACCATCGTATTTCCTAGGCGCGGAGGCCTAGGAAAGAGTCACAGAGAGGGGTGTGGCCGGCGTTTTAGCTCCGCCCTCCGCCGAGGGATCCGAAGGCCTATTTGGTGCCTTAGTAGCCGCGATGTCATTGGATGAAAGCCTGGAGAGGGGGCGGGATTCCAGGCTGCTTCTCGCTAGCCGATTACTCAATACCTGGAGGGCGGGACGGGGGCTGCAGAGCTACGATCCGATTGGTTTCGGACTCAGCTGGAGGCGGGACGAGTTCTTGGTTGGGGCGGGTCCCGACGCGAGGCTGCAGGCTGCCCGGGAGGTCCGCGGTCCGCCCCGGAGCGCGGGAGAGAGGTACGGAGTTCGGACGGTACGGCCCTGGAGACTGGCCCCAGCGCCTGCGGTCTCCGACTCCGGGGGCTCCGGGCAGAGGCCCGAGCTCCCGACAGTGGGATCGGTGTCCTCGGATGAGGTTTGGGTTTTCCCAGGAGAGACGAGGCCTTCGGGAGAATATGGGAGAGGGTCTTCCTAGGATATGTCGGGTCCTGTTGGAGAGGAGGGGCCTTGGCTGTTAGAACTGGATCCCCGGAGGGATACTTAGGGTGATCTCTGAAGACCTAGGGCTGCGGGCTTGAGCTGTTGGGACGGACATTTGAGGGGCTCAGAGGTGGCAGGAGTGTTGGGGTAGTCTAGGGAGCCTGAGATCTCGAGTGCTGACGTTTGGTGAGTTGGGGTCGGGGTTGTCACAGGACTACTTTGGGTCTCCCCACCCCCACTCCTGGGCTGCTTTCCCTGGATAGCTGTTGGATCGACTGTGACCCTCACCCGGAGCAGACTCACAGAGTTTAAGGCCACAGGGCAAAGGTAAAACCCTGAATCACTTGGTGCCTGTTCCCAGGGCAACAAGATGGAGGAAGGCGGGAACCCAGGAGGACTGATTAAGGTGGTCCATCTACTGGTCTTGTCAGGTGCCTGGGGCATGCAAATGTGGGTGACCTTCGCCTCAGGTAGGGACCCTCTTTTTGGCCATCATGGATACCCAGGGTGGGGATCAAAATGGGAGGGGAACCTGGAAGTGTCCTAATAGGCATGTGGTCCCCTACCTCACAGGCTTCCTGCTTTTCCGAACCCTTCCCCGACATACCTTCGGCCTCGTGCAGAGCAAACTCTTCCCTTTCTACTTTTACATCTCCATGGGCTGTGCCTTTATCAACCTCTGCATCTTGGCTCCACAGCGTGCCTGGGCTCAGCTTACATTCTGGGAGGCCAGCCAGGTATGCAGTCTTGAGTGCCACTATCTTCTGGAGACTTGTTTCCAAGATCCCAATGACCACCTATGATCATCCCTTTGAGGAAGAAAGAAATCATGCCCCTTCTTCCTGGTGGAGACAGAGCTGGGCACTGGCTATCCTTGAGCAGTGCACAGTCTACACAACTGTCCCCAGCAGTCCTGTCTATCCTCCAGTATCTCTCTCTTGGCTGCTGCTCCCTCTCTTCCCCATGGCTGGGCCTGTTGCCAAGCTGAGGTGACTCAGCTGTGCTGGGACTCTGACCCCAGCTCATTGTTTAAAAACCAGCCCAACTGGGGATTTAGGGTTCCCTACCCCATTCACACATGTCCCCAGCCATGAGGCAAGGGACCATCTCTGCATCTCAGATTTCTCTACCTTGTTCTCCCTTTGCCCACTAAGTTTCTCAGATGTGGGCAGGTTAGGCCTGACAGGTGTGACAAGAATAATCTAGAGACAGAAGAGGATTATGGGTGACTAGAATTTCACAGATGTTTTAGTCACTTCCTGTGGACCCAAGTTATGGAGTCTGGGCTGAGGATAGAGGAGAGATGGGCTCCATGTTTTGGGATAACGAGGAGTCAGTCAGTTCTCTGTCCTAATTTTGGGAAGAGAGATCCTGCCCTTAGATAGCCACAGTTTGGGGGAACACAGGAGATGGGGAGACAAGCCCCTGCCCCGTGGACTTTCAGTCTGGGTGTCAGAGGAGAGAGGCTCAGGGGGAATAGAGGAGATGGAGCCACCCCCACGGCCTTTCCTTAGGGGCCGCCAGCTTCAGGTCCTCTTTCTGGGTCCAGGGAAGTGGGGGGGGGGTTGCTGGCTTTGATTCAGTGCTGTCTTGATACCATTCTGGACTGTGAGGATGCAGACGGGCCCTCCCCAGAGCCCCTTCCACCCCCAGGCACAGCTTACCTTCTCTTCCCGCTGCGCTTGCCAGCTCTGCCTGCAGCTCCTGAGCCTCACCCTGGCTACCATCAATGCCCACTGGCTGGAGCCGCACACTACAGCTGCCATGTGGGCCCTGCAGATTGTGGAGAAGGAGCAGGGCCTAGGCGGGGAGGTGCCCGGCAGCCTCCAGGGCCCCGACCCCTACCGCCAGCTGCGGGAGAAGAACCCCAAGTACAGTGCTCTCCGCCGGAACTTCTTCCACTACCATGGCCTGTCCTCTCTTTGCAATCTGGGCTGTCTCCTGAGCAATGGGTTCTGCCTCGCTGGCCTTGCCCTGGGCCTCAGGAGCCTCTAATATGGACCCTGTATGTCAATAAATGCTTCTTTGGAGATGGCTTCTGTTGTTTTCTCGGCCCATGAGAAGCAGGGATGTGTGTGTGCAAGGGTAGCTCTGGTCCTGTTTCCCTATTCACATGGCATGATTCAGAATGTTAGTTATACAGCCCCTAAGTCTTTCCACTAGTGATACCCATTCATTGAGCACCAGCTGTATGGCAGGCATGGTGTTAACCATTGAACATACCATGTATTGTTGCAACAATAGCTGGTTCCGATCCCTAAGGGACAATTTCCTATCCCACTGACACTGGGAGTGACTGTGTGACTTGCTTTGGCCAATGGAATGTGAGCGGATGTGGCATGGGTCTCTTCTAAGGAGAGGTTGTTTCAAGACAGGACATACCATGCTGCATTTTCCCTTTACCACTGCAACCATTGTGAGAACCAGTCATTGGCTATTGTGTGTTGTGAAGACTTTGGTGCTGTTTGTTACTGAGCATATTCAAGCCCTTCCTAACTAATGCACTGCATCTCAGTTCACCTGCGTGGCACACGTAAAAAGAACCTACTGTTCTCCTGAGACATGGATGTGCAGAATTTAGCCAGTTGCTTGAACGCCAACAAATCCTGAACTATTGTAACTACTCTCCTACTGGCTTGAAGAAAACACGGCTTCTTTTTAAAATCTAAATGCCAATTTTATTTATTTATTTTATGTCAAATCTTACTGTGTGGGGGCTGGGGTTGTTGCTCAGTGGTAGAGTGCGGCGCTCTCTATGCATGTATGAAGCACCGGGTTCGATCCTCAGCACCACATAAAAATAAAGGTATTGTGTCCATCTACAACTGAAAAAATATTTTAAAAAAAGAAAAAAAAAAAAAAAGATCTTACTGTGTGGCCTCAGGCAAAGAGCTGCCCCTCTCTGAGCCTTGGTTTCCTCATGGTAAAAGGTAGTTTTAACTACAAATGCCCACTTTAGGACCACGCACTGCCCTTTACCAACACTAACTCATCAGAATCCTCACACAACCCTGTGAGAGGGGCCACTTGAAGGATGGAGAAACTGAGGCCCAGAGAGGTTAAGAAGCGTGTCCAAAGTCACAAGACTAGAAAGTGTCGGCGCTCTTAACCGCGGGGCAGAGCCTAGGGACGGTCTACTCACCACGGGCTCCGCTCCCAGGCTCGGGCCGGCCTCCCGCCCCTCCCACCGGTGCCTACGAGCCCCGCCCCGGGGCGGCCCTGCCCACCCCGCCGCCTGGGCGGAGTCCGTGCGGGATCCGGGTGGCTGCGGGCGGCGGCGGCGGCGGCGGCGACTGCGGGGGCCCGGGTCGCGGCCGAGACCCGGCCGCAGCGAGTTCGGAGAGTTCGGAGGCGGAACCCCGCGGGCAGCGCCCCTGGCGCGAGGTGATCCCTTCCCAGGGCGCGCACCCCGCTCCTCCCCTGCGCGTCCGGCAGGTCCGGGAGCCGGGCTGGGAGGAGGGCAGGGGGCTGGGGAACAAAGGCGGGGCTGCAGGGGACGCCTCGTCTTCCCCCGCGCTCCGCGGGGCTCCTCCGGCAGCCGTAACGGGGCGCGGGCGGGGCCCAGAGCCCAGCTGGGGACTTGCGATGGGACCATATGGTGATGGGGGGAAGCAACTGCGCTCCTCTGCACCGGCTGGGGTGCCTGAAATACAGTGTAAGGGACAGATCCAGGCCCTCCGCTAGTGTCAGGCGTGAGGGAGGGTCGGCAGATGGTCAGGCAGAGGTGGGACCGGTGACCGACAGAGGCGGAGTGGGGCGGGGGCCCTAGGCTGGCAGCCCTGCCCAGCGTGCTTCTCTGCCCCTCCTCAAACTCGTTCTCCCGGAACACGGGGTGGGGCCCGGCTTGGTCCGCATTGAAAATGAACCGAAGCCTCAAAGGTGGTTGAGAAATAGCTTAACCCAGGCTCCCCGCGCCTGCGTGCCTCCCATTCATGCAGGCCTTCTTGTGCTGGGGAAACTGAGGCGTGGGGAGGGAAGGAGGGTTGCAGGTGCATCCAGGACCTGGAGGACCCGTGGCAGACTGTGGGCCCATCAGGCTCCTGGGGTCCAGTGCCTGGAGAGGAAGGAGCAAGGGAGCAGGTGGTGGTCCTGGAGGTAGGGTTTGTTATAATTATGTGGCTGGGATAACTTGGATTTGCCGACTCTCGCACCTGCCTGGGTGGATTGGGGCTGAGGCTGGGGTGAGTCAGCCTTGACCAGAGGCAGACAGGCTCAGCCCCTTTGACAAATAGAAAATGGCAGGTCCCCACTTGGGAGTAGAGCTGGGGCTTTAAATTCCTGATGTGTCCACAGAAACCCCCCTCACCCCGGGAGTCAGGGAGACAGTTGAATTGGGTTTGGGTGGTGAGTAGAACATGCACCCTAGTGGTGGACACCTGCCAAAGTCAACACCCAGGCCCTGCAGTGGGGGGTTGTCTGTCTTGCTGGCAGGCTCCCCCCTCCCAGCTAACACCTGGGCCTCCCAGCTGCTCACTCTGGGGCAAAGTCCACACCTGCAGCTTCTGCAGACGTCCTCAGGGGCCAGAGGAGGCACCCCCCCCATGCAGTGCGGGGTGTCTGAACCCTTAGCCAGGCCTAGGGGCCTCAAGGCAGGAACCCCCAAACCCACTGTAACAAAGGCTCAGTTTTTTCCTTTGTGTGAAGATTAAACAGCAATGGCATTTATTGAGCGCCAACTGTATGCCGGGCACTGTTTTATAACGATTGGGTGTATTAAGAGCCTCCCTCTTTGTCACAGCTGTGCCCTGGATAACAGGCCTAGTCCTACTCCCAGGCAGGGCAGAGGCAGTCTCAGTAAGCGCTAAAGGACTCAAGAAACTCATTTTAGGCTCCTGACTACCCACCCTTTCAGATAGGGCTATAACACAACCCCATTTTTCAGAAAAGGATGATGAGGTCGAGTCAGAGATGATGCCTCCGGGCTCTGGGCCTCCGACTGCAGAGCTGGGCTCCCGCCAAGCCAGGTGGATGCACCGGGGCTGTCATTGGTGTCTGATTCCCCTGTAGGACTCGCCTTTCCCACCGAGGACTCCAGGCCTTGTCCCCAGCAGGCTCCTGCCAAGATGGCATCAGCAGGAGACCCCCCAGCGGGCCCTCGGGACGCTGCAGACCAGAACTTTGACTACATGTTCAAGCTGCTGCTCATCGGCAACAGCAGCGTGGGCAAGACGTCCTTCCTGTTCCGGTATGCCGACGACTCCTTCACGCCCGCCTTCGTCAGCACCGTGGGCATCGACTTCAAGGTCAAGACTGTCTACCGCCATGACAAGAGGATCAAGCTGCAGATTTGGGTGAGCCAGGCAGCTCTGTGGGTCTGTGGCAAGGGTGACAGTCCCTTCAGCGTTGTTCATTAGAGGGTTCCTCAGGGGAGGGAGAGTGGCCCAGAGTTGGTGAGGGAGGTGGTACCTCTGGGGTGTCATTGTCAGGGTGAGGCTGGCCTGGATGGCCTGCGGGGGGCCTGAGAGGGGAGATGGTACTCACCTGGGCCTGTTTGAAGTGCTGGCAACAGTGAGGAAGTGGTTGGGAGCCCTCTGAGGGTCCAGCCAGGGAACCCCCACTGCCTGTCTTCAGAGCCACGCCCTTGGCCCCCGAACCAGCTGTTGGTCCAGATCATCGCGGTTTCAAGTGCACCAAAGTGTCCTGTCAGGATGACACCCTCTGACCCGGGTGGCTCTTGGAAATGAGGTCAAAGGTGTTCTTAAGTCTATGAGAAGTAGATGACCCCTCAAACTGGGAACCCCTGCAGGGCAGGGCCAGCTGTGGCTGAGAATGAGTTCATGTCTCCCCCATGATTGGGACTGTGAGGAGCACTGGGCAGCGTCCCCTTCCAACAGAGTCCTGCAAGGTTTGGGTGGGGACAGGGTGGCTTCTCGCCACCTGACGCTGCTGTTTGCTTAGGACACAGCAGGCCAGGAGCGCTACCGCACGATTACCACTGCCTACTACCGCGGCGCCATGGGCTTCCTGCTCATGTATGACATTTCCAACCAGGAGTCCTTTGCTGCTGTGCAGGACTGGTGAGTGCTGCTGACCGCTGACCCCTTGACCTTTGTCCTTTCCCCGCCATCCCTAAACCCAGCTCATGGCCTGCCTCCACAGGGCCACGCAGATCAAGACCTACTCCTGGGACAATGCCCAGGTCATCCTCGTAGGGAACAAGTGTGACCTGGAGGATGAGCGTGTGGTGCCTACTGAGGACGGCCAGAGACTCGCGGATGACCTTGGTTAGTGCTCAGCCTGGGCCTCAGGCCCCGGGCCTCCCAGAACCCAACCTTCTTCCCACCCTCAGGTCCCAGATCCAACAACCACCACCAGCCCTTTGAGGATCTGCCCAGAAAAATACCCATGGGTGTGCCACATTCTCCATGTAATTTGATTTCTGGAGAAATCCATAGGAACTTCCATGCCCTGGGAACCCAGTTAATGGAGACTGGGATCCTAAAAAGGCAACTGACTTTTCCATCTCTTTTGTGTTATATCAGGCATCAAAACCCACCGTCTGCTACCTGTTTTTGTGCCATCTGTGATCTGTGAATAGTTTTAACTCTTTTTTTCCTTTCTGCTGGAGATGGAACCTAGGGCCTTGTGCATGCTAGGCAAGTGCTCTATGACTGGACTACATTCCCAGCCCCAGTTTTTATATTTTTAAATAGTTGTAACAAAGAGAGAGAGAGAGCAAGAGAGACCGAGAGAGCTCAATAATATTTCGTGACATGGGAAATTTATTATTTTTAGATATCTGTAAGATTTTGTTTTAACCTTTTTTTTTTTTAAATAATTTTTTAAAGAGAGAGAGAGAATTTTAACATTTATTTTTTAGTTATCAGCAGACACAACATCTTTGTTTGTATGTGGTGCTGAGGATCGAACCCGGGCCGCACGCATGTCAGGCGAGCACGCTACAGCTTGAGCCACATCCCCAGCCCTGTTTTAACCTTTTAATTGACAAAATAATTATACATAATAATCGTAACACATATTGGGTACAGTGTGATAACAAGGTACGTGGATACAATGTGTAATGATTAAATCAGA